AGGCTATAAATACCTAGGTTCCGGGGCAACTCAGCCTGGGCTTGGAGAGGAGCCGGCTCGCTCAGCCCTGGGTTAGGGACGGTTAATGGTGCGCTCAGGGACCGCCCTCCTTGCGCTCTCCCCAGGAGCCCTAGCCCCCTCCGAGTCAGAGCAAGGGGAGGGGGCTGGATGACGTCAAGGAACTGTTGGAGGTTTTAGCTCAGAAACCCGCCTGGGAGCGGCCCCAGGGCCTGTGTTCCATTTAGGCCCAAGGTGTATCACTCTCGGCTCACTTTCCCAAACTTGGCAGGGCAACTTTCTAGTTTTTCCGAGACCTAAGAGGGCCTGGGGTTCTGAAGGAAATCAGTATGTGATGGCTAGGCCAAGAACCCGGAAGAATGGGTATGCAGGCATGGGCTGGCGAGGCTTTCACTAGCACGAGCCCGGCCAAGTGGCCATTAGCATGCCTCCAGCAAAGTCTCAGGTAGTGGGAGAATGATTTCTGGCTGAAATATGCCTCATGGCACAGGTAATATTATTATTAACTGTGATAATAATGCAAACGGTTATGGAATGTTACTGCCTTCCAGAGACCAATCAAACCCTTGAAGTAGATATTTATTCCCCCACCCCTACCCCCATTATACAAATGACAAATTAAAGCCCAAAGACGTTAAGGAACCAATGCAGGATCACACAGCTGGCAAGTGAAGGAGCTAAGATTTAAACTCCAATCTCTCAGTCTCCAAGCCCAGGCAAGCTCTTTCCAAGACACTGCATTGCCTCTCAGTTTTCAAATAGGTATATTCCAAGGGTGGGGGCATCTACCGTCCAACAGACCCCAGACTCCTCCCACCTCTTCTATTTGCCCCAGTCTGCCTACACCCAATGAGATAATGGGGGAAGGGAACAAGTTATCCAAAAGCAGAGTGAGGACTGTTTGCTCTTTCGGAGAGAGGTTAACTTACCAAGTTAAAGCTTGTTATGACTGGAGATGGAGGGGACAGGATACACTTAAACCTGCAATAGGAAAGAAAGGTGACTTTGTGGAAAACTATGTGCCAAGGACTGTGCTGGCACAGAGGCAAAATGTAATAATACTGCTTTCCAACACTGATCTGCCAGGACTGCTCTAAGTACTCTACAAGGCAGAGTAATGGTGGGAGCTTTCAATTATTCAAACAACAGCTGGAAGTTTAATTTTGCTATAAGCCTAGCATCAGCAAAAGTCCTGATTTGCCTCACTGACTTTCATCTCCAAAGTAGGAACTGACATCTGACTGTTGGGGTTTGCATCCTAGCTCTGTCAGCTTGTAGAGCAGATGTTACATAATCTTGAGTAAGCACCTAACCCCTGCGAAACCCTGTCAGTTGGGGGTGGTAATGGTGCCTCCCTCAGTGCATTCATGTGAGGATCCCAGGAGAGAATATAGGTGAGGGACCAGCACAGTGCACAAGCTTGAGCTCCTAATGTTATTGCTATTACCTCTCAGAAGGGAGGGGGCATTTTGACCAACAGTGAACAAATTGAGGTAATATGGAGGAAGTAAGGACCAAGAGGGAAAGTGACCATGCTGCCTAGGAGGCGATAAGAATACAAGAAGAAATTCTGGGCACAGAGTGGAGCAAAGCTCATTTCAGAGAGTTAGGAGAAAAGAAAAGCCTGACCCAGTGGGATTCTAGCCTAAATCCCTAAATAAGAATATGTGTATAAAGGATGAAAGGATTAAAGACATTCTAAAATAAATTTCTAACAATTCATTCATTCTTTTGAGATGAAAAAGGGGAAGAGTTTAAAAATGAATCACCATGACAGCCACCATTTTGTTGTGCCTCTGGGTTGAGCTCCTGCTTTCAGGGGACAGTAGGTACACATACACACAAAGGTGGGATGGGCGTGCACCAAGGTGTGAATGCACAAAAGCAACTCAAACGTGTAAGCCTGGCCTCGGGCCAGCTAAAGGCCAAGCAGAATGTTTCAAGCCAAAAAGAACATGGAAAGCATTTGAGTTCTCTTACTCCTTTTCTGATAGAGGTTGTAGGGTGGTCATTTAGGAAATGCTATTTGATGTCAGCACAATGTCATATTTTAGTGGAAAGAATACAGGATTAAGGTCTGCAGACCAAGATACTGGTCTAGCTCCACCATTAATAAGTTGGGTGACCACAGGAAAGTTCCTTAACCTTGCTAGGCCTCACTTATGAAAGATGGGGAATGTTCTCGTAGGTCTCTGTCATCTCTAAGTTCCATGATTCCACATTGTAATGAAAAGTGGACTGGATGACAGTTCAGTCCAGAGGGTGTAGCCACAATAGGGCAGCCCGCTCTGAGGGCTGTTTAATGCGCAATGTCTGGTGTGTTAAACTGACCAAAGAGAGGACTTTGTCCCTATTTTTGCCCTTTATATACATGTATTAATGACTTAATCCCCAAATGATAGGAGAGCTATGGCAAAGGGTCATAGATTGAAGTGTTAAAATACACTAAACGGGCTGGAGGAGGCTTGAGCTGAAAGCCAGATGAAATTAGTTGAAATTAAATGTGAAGCTCTGCGTCTAAGTTATTTTTTTATAAAACTTACATGAGTTCAGGAGAGGGAAGACCTGGCTAAGAAGCAGATGATGGGAAGAGGGTCTGGGTAATGGAGACGACAACCCATTCAAGCGGAGGTGATTCGGCTGTCATCTAGCTGTTAACGAAAGAGCTAGTGCAACTTTGACCATATTTAACAATAAGGATAACGATAATG